ATTTCATTTTAATTGCACAGTATGCTACAAGTCACATCATATTGTTATATAATTACATACCAGTGGGAATATAGTGAGATATTAGCTTTATTATAGCTGAAGAAATGTTAGAAGAGAGGAGATTCCTAGGTGTAGCAATGCCAAATGATCAAAGCATTTAGAAACTATAGTGGAAATTTTTGTTTTGTTTCTCCAGTATGTTGATAGTGACTTTTTAAGGAAATTAAGTAGATGAAGGTCACTGTCGCAGTCCTGTTGTCAATCGATTTGCTTGAGCAGGCCCAGTAACGTCTCCATTGGAGACTTTGTTGTTACTGTGTCTGGCATCTCGAATACGTCACGGGTAGCTTGCCAGGCTTTGCCGTGCGGGCAAGATACTCTCGATAGCTTGCTGGGCTCTCTGAGAGGGGCGGAGGAATCGAACTCGGGTTGGCCTTGTTGGCTGCATGCAAGACAAATGCCCTATCCGCAGTGCTATCGCTCCAGCCCTAGATGAAGGTATGATTAAAAAAATAAAAAGATACCAGAATCAGAAATTAGGAAGGTATGGGAAGTTAGAAAATACGAGTTTTTGTTTGCAATTTTGTGATGTGAGTATAGATAGGTAAGGTAAAGGTAAAGGCCCTCCCGTTGATCGTCGATTTGCTCGAGCGGGCCCAGTAACATCTCCATTGGAGACTTTGTTGTTACTGTGTCTGGCATATCGGTAGCTTGCCGGGCTCTCCGAGAGGGGCGGAGGAATCGAACTCGGGTCGGCCATGTTGGCCGCGTGTAAGGCGAATGCCCTACCCTCTGTGCTATCGCTCCAGCCCGTGAGTATAGATAAAGGTAAAGGTAAAGGCCCTCCCGTTGATCGTCGATTTGCTCGAGCGGGCCCAGTAACGTCTCCATTGGAGACTTTGTTGTTACTGTGTTTGGCATATCGAATACGTCACGGGGAGCTTGCCAGGCTCTGCCATGCGGGCAAGATACTCTCGGTAGCTTGCCGGGCTCTCCGAGAGGGGCGGAGGAATCGAACTTGGGTCGGCCATGTTGGCTGCTTGTAAGGCGAATGCCCTACCGCTGTGCTATCGCTCCAGCCCATGAGTATAGATATCCTGGAAATAATTTACCCCTCAGAAGCCTTATGATTCTCAAAGGGAGTGAAAGTTATGTGACTTTTATAACTTTGGGAAAGACAGTAACCAGACTTAACATGTTGTGAGTGTATCTCTAGTCAAGAATTCTTGAAGATGGAGATGGAATGAATAATAATTTGATGAGAAAATTTCAGAACTTCAAAATATTTACCTTATTGTGCCAATATTTTTTTTCTACAAATATTGTGTAATCATGTCAGTGTATATATTACTTTGGCTTTACAAACTACATTTGCTTTGAAAAGTTGAAGAAATTTTACATTTAGTATTTCTTTTTAATATTAATAAAGGGGGGCTGGAGCAATAGCACTGCAGGTAGGGCTTTTGCCTTGCATGGGGCCAACACGAGTTCGATTTCTCCGCCCCTCTTGGAGAGCCTGGCAAGCTACTGAGAGTATCTCACCTGCACAGCAGAGCCTGGCAAGGTACCGTGATGTATTCGATATGCGAAAGACAGTAACAACAAGTCTCACAATTTGTTGCGAGACATTACTGGTGCCCGCTAGAACAAATCGATTAAAAAAGGGATATAAACTGAAGTATTTAAGAAAATAGTTATCAGCATGTAGTAATCTTTTACCTACGATCAGAGCCCTTCTGAATCAAAGTGTTTGAACTAAAGTTCCGTGTCTGGATTGACAGTTCCCAGTTTTTTGGTGCTGCATAGTGCTGCTGCCACATTGCATCGTATTTGCACTTCACATTTTTGTGCTGTTTGCTGCATACTGTGGTCTAGAACATCCGGACAGACAACTGGTGCTCTTTGGGCCAGAGTATGACTTTGTGTTTGGGAAGTGCCAGGTGTAGGACAGCGTTGTCTCCTGGATTAATGGTGTGGGAGTTCTGTAAGCACCTCGATGTTGTCCTCAGTCAAGTCCTTGCACCAACTTATGATGGACTAAGGGGATGGGAACATCATCTGTCTTGTGTTTAAATCTTTTATATTGAAGCAAGTGACATAATAGAGTAATTGTGATCAAGTTGCAATAGGTATTTATACATACCCAAGGATTTATTTTTTTTGTGAATTTCCAAGAAAAGCACGGACAGCACAAGCGTTTAGTAGCCAAGAGTTGTTCCCCTGGCCAGCCCATGGCGATGGACAGACAAAGGATGGGGGAACGGAGAAACAGTTTGGCAGTCAGGTTTATTTCTCTCTCCTCTCCAACATAGTCCGGACCTTTCCCTTACAACACAATCGTAGATGTAGTTATGGTCGTGGCCCCAGTCTTCATAGTTCTATTATCCTAGTCTCCTTGTTGACTTCAAAGTTCTCTTCTTCCAGTCATCATCCACTCCTCTCTTTCTCATAGTCCCACTTTCCCTTTACAGCATAGTTATATAGAAATAATGGAGGGTGAGGGTACACATAGGTGGGTTGAACATTATCATAATAACAAACAGATGTAAAGCCACTCCCGTCAGGGGAAGTTCTAGGGGATTAACTCAAGGACAAAATCTCATCTGAGGGTTCAGGACTCCAGATTACTAGGAGATCCGCTCGAAGACTGGATTCCATCCAGGGTATATTGCTTTCTCCTTTCCTCAGCTAGTAATCTATTTAAATAATCAGAGTAAATTTGCTTCTTATAATATTTCTAGTCATCTTGTATGAACATAGTAAGAGATATATTAGGCTTAAAGGTTGGCTTTTCCTGGGGACATCTCGCTATATATTCCAGACCACGGTCTTCAGGCCAGGTTAGTCTTTCCTAACCCCAGCAGGGTCCTTATTCAGTTACTTCTTTTTGGGCCATGACAGAGTGTGTCCCATGACCAGGCTCTTAACTTACTATACTTATGGTGCTTAACTTGTCCCCTTTCAATGCAAGAATAGCTTAAAAACTTTCATCTGATGGGTCCATCTAGTCCCATCAGAATTTTCCTTTTGGGGCTATTAGGAGGTAAGGGCAACTGAGATTTAAGTCAGGTAAATATGATGGATGCCCAGGAGTAAATATTATTTGGAGTCAATTAACTCCCATGCTACAAAAGTGCAGCATCAGCTGTCTTCCTGTGTCTCTACATAAAGGATATTGCTAAGTAGGCCACGCAAATGACATAAAGGAAAGAGAAAGCAATACAGGATTATTAGTGCTAGATAGAATTAGGTGTGCCTTAGGGCCACGGTTGTGGGAGTAACTCAGTAAACCTAAGCCCCCTGTGGGAGGAACAAGGACAACCCAGTGTTATTCAACAGTTTTTTGTTTATTTTTCGATACTATTTTCAGTTCATATGCGGGAGATATTAGCCTGCAGGTAAAGATTTCTGGGCATTTCAAGGTCCTGGTTAACTTACTTGTCTCATCTTTCATTTGTCATGTCTTTTTGTCTTCACACTGTTTTCTCTTGTTGTCTTATAGGGGGACCTGAGGTGGAAGCCATTTATATTTAGAGTTGGGTTACTTCATTGCAAATGCACGAAAATGTTCTTACCCTTTGTTTCCCTGTTTCTGATGAAATGTTGAGTTTTTCATTGTTAATAATAAAAGAAATGATGATCAGATGATGATGATGATGCCATCAACATGGAAGTAGAACAATTCTCTTTTGCCCAGTTTGCATTTGGCATCTTCTGAATATTTTCAGCCTTTCCCTATTTTCCCGTCTAAACAAATCTGCTTTTACTTTGTCTAAAACAGGTAAGTCAACAAGTGCCAGAGCACACTTTCTAGGAACACTTTGGAGTTGAAGAGGTTTTTTTTTTTTTTTTTTTTTTGGTAAAATTGTGACAGCTTTGGGGGAAGAATTTGACAATGTGACATTAAGCATTAGAGGCAGCTGTGTTGCTGCCACCTGTTTTGATACCATTCCTTTATTATAGACGTGAAACCCTGTTCTCCTAACTTGTTAGCTAGTCCTGATTTGTTGGTTTTTTTTTTTCGGGGGGCATTAGGTAACATTTTGGAAAATGATTTTTTGATGCGGCATAAATCTCTGCTCCTTTGATGTTAGCAGATGTACATGCTTAAGAGATTCACGCTTAATAGATGCCCACTACGGGCATCTGTTAAACAAATAAGATTTGCTATGAGTTTTTTCGTCTTATGTCCAGTAGCAGTGCATTGCTTGATGTGTAAAGTTGCTCTCGTTGTTGTCATATTTCTACATATTGCAAAAGTTAGAGGTCAATTAACAATTTCTTTATAGGATTATACTCTGGCAAGGAAATAATAAAAACACATTAAGGCAGTCACTGGGCTAGTATTTTCATACTGAATTGCATGGAATATGTACTTAATTGGTTCATATATTGGGCTGGAGTGATAGCACAGTGGGTAGGGCATTTGCTTTGCATGTAGCCGACCCGGGTTTGATTCCTTTGTTCCTCTTAAGAGCCCAGCAAGCTACTGAGAGTATCCCACCCACACGGCAGAGCCTGGCAAGCTCCTCGTGGCATATTCGATATGCCAAAAAACAGCAACAAGTCTTACAATGGAGATACTACTGGTGCCCACTCGAGCAATGGAGAAGTTGCTCCAATGTATATAAGCTTTTTTGCCATGGAAGTGTTGTGGTAGTAGGAATACCGAAGTAGAGACATTGGAAAGGAGAGGGCAGGTCAGTTATCTTGGTGGGAATGGGGAAGCTATCCAGAGTTGGAGAGCAGGGAGAGTGTAGTTCTTAAGGTCTGTTCCCATCCTTGAAGAATGAAGATGTAAAAAAAAAAAAAAAAAAAAAATGAAGATGTAAGGAAACATCTTTTGTTCTACTTACTGTCCGAATATATTCAAAAGATAAAACAGATTTGCTTTCTGGGATGAAGACTGTTACTTTGAAACATTTCCTTCTTTTATAACAGGGGTGACTGTTTCTCCCAGGGTCCCATGCTCATTGTGTCTTCATGTTCTCTCCCTTCAGAATTGCCCGAGGTTCCATCAATTGAGGAGGAGGTTGAAGAAACAGAGTCATGGGCAAAACCTCTTGTCCATCTTTGGCAGACAAAACCTCTCAACTTCATGGCTGAGCAAGAGTATAACGCCACCATGGCCAAAATGGAGCCCTTTTGTGCCATCTGTGCTCTCCTCTTGCCCTACTACAAGGTAACGAGGCTGAGGGGTCACAGTCAAAGTTTCCATTCACTGCTGCATATTCTGTGTGATTATGAGGACACATGTGAATCCTTGTATGGTAGTGCATGCACGACAAGGAAGACATTAATATGTCCATAATATTCATTAATATTTCTGGAACTATCTATGGCTATCCAGGAACAGCAAATGAAAAGCCTCCTATTGCCCCCACCCCCCGCCCTGAGAAATGTTTTCCTGTTTTATCAATTTTGATATCTTGGTTTATTTCAGTCGTGGGGTAATTCTAACTACCCTCCCCATATCAGAAAACAAAATATTCATAAAAATATCTTATAATTTCTATGAAATATGTATGAAAATAGTTTTTAGTAGCTTATAAGTTTCTCTTACAGAATATTCTCTTCTCCTATGCTTTGTTTCCAATTGAGAGCCTGAGGAGTGGAATTGATTAAAAACAAAACAAAACTAATAGTTGGGTCAAGGAGAAAAAAGGGGAATAACAGAGATGGAAATTAGTGGTGACAGAGCAGCTGTTAATGGATCTGAGTGAGAAGAACAAATGGAGAGCTCTTTTTCGTGTTTTTCACTCATGTGGGCATAATTGTTTTTCAGCCAGATAGCAGCAATGAAGAAAATGATTCTAGATGGGAGACAAAATTAGATGAAGCAGTTTCTTCTGGAGGAAAGACTAAGCCCCTCATTCCAGAGATGTGTTTTATTTATAGTGAAGAAAACATAGACTATTCTCCACCCAGTGCCTTCCTGGAAGAGGATGGAACAAGTCTTCTGATTTCCTGTGCAAAGTGCTGCGTACAGGTTCATGCAAGTAAATGAATCTCTCATTCATCAATCATGGCTTTTTGGTGCTTCATGTGGTCTTTAGTTCTCATTTCTTTGTAACCTAACACATCCACTGCATTGGACTATTGGTATTTTTTTCCCTTTCCTTTTTCTTTTTGTAGCAATTGACATTTTTAATGGTTAGATATTCTTTCTCATATTTTTTCTAATGAAAGTATAAATGGGTATATTATTTTTCCCCCTCCAGTTTCAAGTGGGTCTGTTAAATTTTGTATGTTTGTTTGTATTGGGATCATCAATCATCATTGAGCTCTTTTTAATATTTTTTTAACAATTGAATTTTATTTATTTTAAAGATGTATTTTGTGAAGAGTCTCTTGACTCATGATTGTTTTGCACGACTATTGTTTGTTTGTGTCGGACCACACCTGGTAGTGCTCAGGGCTTACTTTTGGCTCTGCACTCAGGGATCATTACTGGAGGGACTCAGGAGACCAAGTGGGTTGTTGAGGATTAAATCCTGTTGGCTGTGTGTAAGCCCTGCCTACTGTACTATCTTTTTCTGTGGTTTTTAAATAATAAATAGCCTTGGTGATGTGAGGACTTATTATTGTCAAGTTTAATTGTGAAGTTTTTATCCTTTATCTTTTGTAAGAGTAGGGAACGCTCCGATGTTTTCTAGTGTAGGGTAGCTATTTTTACTATTTTTTCCTCTAGGATTGAGATGGTTAAGTTCTATAACTTTCAATTTTCAATTTTTACGTTGTTAGATACCAGATGGTAAATAAATTTTAAAAATTGGTCTGCTTTATAAATTTTCTGAAATGTGTAAAAAGAATATACTACAACTTTGTTTTAAAGTTTTTAAATAGTTCAGATCTTACCAAATCAGATATTTTCTTAATACACTTATTAATTATATACCATACACCATATATATATAGTAAATATACAGTTAGGAAGATTATTAAGTATCAACCATTTCTTTCAGTGTATTATGAGTGAATTATAAGATAGGTATTATCTTCTATATTTACCACAGAGTAAGGTCTTATGTAATGTCAAAATAGCCTTGCTATCTACCATTTATTACTTAAATAGATATTGATATCCCAAGGAATTTGAAAATAATCTTCTTCAAATATAATTATAGGTGCCTTCTTGTGTCAATCAGTAATACATGTACAATTTCTCTCTCAGTATACATTGTTGTACCTATACAAGAAGTAAAACCAGTACACAAAAAGTTAGAATTTAATCTGGCCTCCTGAATGCACTAGCTTTGCAATTTAGCTGGCTTATAAATGTGTGCTTGTACTAGATATTATATGTTCTTGATTAATTTTGATAGGCCTTTATTTGTGCCAGTATATTTTTTTATTTCCCTTCACATTCCAAATGTGAAGGAAAATTTACTTATTAAAAATTTTCAAGATTCTTATTTCAGTAAGTCAGAGTGACGTATTTTTGTTACAAAAATTTTTGCACCATCAGCTATCTTCTTATATAATTAGTTTTTGTGGGGGCTGTGGACATTTGGGCCACACCCAGCAGTGACAGGGTGACTAGCTCAGTGCTTCTGTGGTACTAAGGGACCATGCAGTGCCAGGGGTCAAACTCAGGTCTCTCACATACAAGGCAAGTGCCTTAACCTGCACTGTCTCTCTGGCCATTCTATAATTATTTTGATTTAGACACGTACTGAATACTGAATAGATGAGTTGGAAACATCTATACTTAATCACCACTTGTGAGTTATGCATTCTTTGTTCCTGTAAAAATAATTAAATCTAGTTAAAATTTTTTGAAAAGTAAACAAATCACAATAATTTAGAATCATTGTGTGAAAAATCATGTGTTGTGTTATTAACAAATTTCTCCATACTTTGCTTCATGAATTGCTACTTATTTTTAAATGTTTCATGTATGAAATTGTACTAATAACTGTTTTGTAAACCATGGTATCTACAATAAAAAATTAAAAAAAATTTATATCAGTAAGGGATGATTATTTAGGAATTTTCAAATTGGTTATTCAAGGATTATTATTATCATTATATATTAACCTTAGTTTGAATTTTTTTGAGGGATCTCCATACTGATATTTAGTATCTGTATCAATTTACATTTGCATCAACAGCATAAAAGAGTTTATTTTTCTCTACATCTTTGCAAATACTTATTGTGTCTTGACTGTAAAATTATCATTTGTATTCTTTATGATAACCATTATGAGCATTGGTGCCTATTAAGATTCACATTCCTGCTTCCTGGTACTGATGTCCACTTAGCAATGAGGCATAAGAGCCAAAAGTGTTTTTGAGATACCTTGTCTAACCTTTGTTGTAAGTAGTGAGAATTTTTTAAGAAAGGGGTTGCAATAGGAAGTTTTCTTATCTTAGTTACACTGTAATAAGATATTTAATACTGTTAAAATGCAAAAGACATAATTCATGGGTCCATACTATTATTTTATAGGTTGTTATGGTATCCCTTCTCATGAGATCTATGATGGATGGCTATGTGCTCGATGCAAAAGAAATGCATGGACAGCAGTAAGTGTCTTATTTTAGTATTTTAGTATCTTACTCCATCCACTCTGGACACTTTCAAAGCTAGCGTGCACACAGTCTTTTGTGTGATACTGTAGTTACCTGTATTTCTGGTCTTCTCTTTCCAAATTATCCTACATAGTGACTCTATGTCTATCTCAGAAATATTTCATTTCTAAGTATCACTCTTCAACTCAGAAAACCTACAGGAAGTGCCAGTTTATTGAAGTCCCTAAATAATGCTTTATTTTCCCACCTAGTTCCATTTTGCAATTCTTGAAAAAAATTTTTTTTTTGAGTAACAGTCACCATGGGTGTCCTCACTTACCATTGTAAAAACCGTGCTCATACACAGCCTTTCATAACATGGGGGTCTTTTTCCACTTATTCATTTACACTTCAAAAATTTTATTTATCAGCTTTGTGCTGGGAATTGCTGTGAATTTAACAAAGAACCTTAAACAACAAATGAATCACCTACTTGACAGACACAGATTGTTCTTCATCAAAGTTGTTTTTCCTAAAGACCCAGTTGAAATGCTAGTTTATGTCCAAGCGTTGAGTTCCAGCCCATTAATCCATTTTGTCACCCATTTTCCTATGTAATTACGTGTTACTTTATCTTTCCCTAAAAATTCATTTTTAAGATATATTAGAACATTCTTGAAAGTGAGAACGATCAGTCCTATACAATGTATCCCTTACTCTTGTCTTAGTGGATGCTCAGCTTGACGATTTCAGGGGTAATAGTAGCATTTGTTTTATTCTTCAATGAATCAAATTTCCTTGCAACTGAATTAAAAACCTGAAGGACAGTATAGTTAAAATGCTTTGCCTGGTAAAAATTTGTGCTGTAAGTAAGTATTTTAGGTTTCAGTGTTGCAGTAGACCTACGACTATAAATTAAAGGCATTCATGAGGATACCTTGAAGGCTTTTTTTGATGTTGTGATTTTTTCTTTTTTTTCTTTTTTGCTGGCATTCACTTTGTGTAGTGAGAGGAAAATGATGTGGAGGTGTAAACTATTGACACTCTTAACTGTCTAAATAACATGTTGGATTTGATGTGAGAAGTAACTGTCTCTAGAAGTCTTTTCATATGTGGGTCCAGAAAACGTTTTGACATTTCCTTTCATGTGGTCATTATGTTATCAAAAAAATGTGTAAATGTGGAGCATCTTTAAAGCAGCCAGAAAGCCCTGCTATGATAAATATATTTAGCACTAGTTGATACGCAAGCCCTAATTGGTTAGTTCAAGCCAAACTGTTATCTTGTAGAATCAGTTTTTCTAATATTGTCCTCTCATTTACTCTGAAGTCTAGGTTTAGAAATTGGAGACACTCTAACTTCATTCCCCAGGGTGTGAAGAGTTCTTAGTTCCATTGACAGTTATGCTTTGCTCACTCCTATTCACACACTGAGCATTCCTGTTTCTCCAAAGTACCATTATTCTTTGCATGGCAGAATTAGGGCCAGACCTAGACCATACACTCTGGTGCTGAGGCTGCTTCTAATTACTGTCACTGTCCTCCCATGGTTCATAGATTTGCTTGAGCGGGCCCAGTAACATTGTGAGACTTGTTACTGAGTTTGGTATATCAAATACGTCACGGGTAGCTTGCCAGGCTTTGCCATGCGGGTGAGATACTATCGGTAGCTTGCTGGGCTCTCCAGGAGGGGCAGAGGAATCGAACTTGGGTGGGCCGTGTCGGCTGCATGCAAGGCAAATGCCCTACCCGCTATGCTATCGCTCCAGCCCACTCCTAATCAATTATGCTTTTTATTTTTAACATGTATTAGGAGGAAATACTTAGATAAATCACTCTTTTGAATTTATTTGATGCATCCTCTTGTTTATCTTAACCCCTTGCACTCTCACAAAATGCAGTATGTCTTTAGTATTTTAATAGTAACGCTAGTAAATCTCATTTAGTTTACAGCAGAAATAGAGGCTCTTCAATATAATTATTTTTGACTCATAATTTCATATTTCTAGTTGGAACTCATTCGAATTCACGGTGAGCCAGTTTTGTTTTCAGTTTATCCATTTTGAATGAACTTTGTTTCTGAAATTTTTGTTCTAAGATTTTCTCTGAGTAAATAATTGAATTGCTGTTTAAGCATTGCAGAGAAGTAACTGACAGTATTGGTATTCTTGCTTAACACCTTTATTTAGTGTGGAGTGTGTGTTGTAATATTAAATTTTACTAAACACTTAAGTATGGTTCTTTGGATTTTGTAGCTGGAATGATTGCACTTTAAAAATGTCTTTAGACTTATTCAGAAATCAATCTAACACTGTGTTTCAAAGGAGCCCTCGACCTCCTTTAAAATGGAGTATCCTAAGACACTAACAAAAATCTAATAATGCTGATGAGATCAGATGATATTTAATAGCTGTTTGAACTTCACTGACTTTAATTTCTCATTAATTCTTGGTATTTTGTAAAACATAACTTTATAAAGGTAAGACTTACTTGTTATGAATGTGGAATGTTCCAGTATTTTGCTTGGAATATTTTGCTTGGGATATTTTGTGTGGGATATGTGTTGACATAGCAAATCTGATTGTTCTAGTTAATTCTTTTTTCCATTTATGATGAGTCCTTTGTAAATCTTGAAGGTAAGGAAAATAGTTTGAAACTCCTGCATTTTTCCCTAGATGTGTGTGAAAATGATATGTGGTAGTTTTTTTTAATGTATTTTTAAAGATTGTATATAAAAAGTGTCTGATGACAGTTGGAGAGATATATCAAAGGGCTCGAGTGTATGCCTGGCATCTGCAGATCCTCAGGTTTGATCCCTTCTGCCACATTGTAACCCTCCCCCAGCATTTGTGGCCTTGATTCCCCCGTATCCCCCCAACCACCACAACTGGGAGACTTCCCCAAATGTTTATTGATAATTGAATGGGTAAGGAAATCTAGTGTATGTATTTATACACATATACACCTAGGGATATTACTCAGCCATAAGAAAAGGAAAGTGAGCTCTGAGGGTCTTCTTTTAAGTCACATCAGTCAGACAAAGAAAAATGCTATATGATCTTAGCTATATATGTACAATCTTTTTAAGTGTTTTGTTTTAATTTTTGGGCCACACTCAGCTGTGCTCTGGATTTACTCCTGGCTCGCTGCAATGGGATCACTTCTGGTGTGGCTCAGGTATGCCAGGTATCGAACCCCGTTGGGTAGCATGAAAGTCAAGAGTTTTACCCCTGTACTAACTCTACAGCTCCTGTGTGATAGATCAAGAGGAAAGAGAGTGGATTAGTGATTGTGAGGGTTGGTGGTAGAGGGGGAAATGTGTGAAAATGGTCAATGAGGACAAACTTCTAGTTCTAAGATTAAGTTTTGAGAATTTGAAATGTGGAACAGTGACTATTGCAATATTGTATACTTGGAAGTACCTACAGGAGTAAATACTAAAATTTCTTAATATGCACACTAAAAATAACTGTAGTAACAGATGTTTTAACCAGCCTTACTTCAGTAATCATTTCTCATTATATGCACAAATAAAACCATTGCAGTGTATCTTACGCCTATACAATGCAGCATGTCAGTGATTTGAATCAAACCAGGATAGAAGAGACTACTAAGAGTAGTTGTATCCTAGAGTTAAACATTAATAACAACATTTTGAAAGGAAAGAAATCTTAGGTGTTATTTCATTGAATCTCAGACTGTAAATAAATTCATATGTTAGAAGGTAGTTTTCAAATAGCACATGATTGCTGAGGAAGCACATAGTGTTGGAATTGATTGCTCACTGACCAGCTGTCTCTTTACTATTTGTAAAGAATTGGTATCAGTTTGGGCTCCATTACCCTGCCACAGTTCTTAAACTGTGGAGGAGACTAGAACTGTATGTCTGTGATTGCCCCAACCCACGGGAATAGTCAACGTAGATAACTGGGAGAGGGTGCGTGCGCGTGCGAGAGAGAGAGAGAGAGAGAGAGAGAGAGAGAGAGAGAGAGAGAGAGAGAGAGGAATGGGAGCAAGTCAAGACTCTGATCAAGCTCCAAATTTATTTCTCACAAGCTAGCCTTTTATAATTGATTACATGAGGAAGTGGGCAAAATGGGGAATTAACAAAGCATGCAGATTTTTAATAAATTATGGTGTGAGCCCTAACGGTGGGCTCATGGCATCATCCCGGGCATAGCTCAGAAACTTACACAATGTATTTAACATTTTTCTAAGAAGAGATTAGTCTTAAATTGCAGGTCAGGCTGTACTGACATTTTGGCTCCCAGCAAGTGATCTTCCTTATACCTCTCACGACTGTTGGCGTGTTAGATTATGCCTGAATACTAGAGTGGATAGTTGGGTTGTTACAAATGTAGTGTTATGATCTGGAGTCTTTCAGCGCTCTATCCCGAAGTTTGGATTTATTCCTTCTTGTAGTTCATCTAGCTCCCATTTATTTTATCCATGGCAATGGAAATCAGTAACAAGAAGTATATTAAAGAATCAGAGTCATGTGATAGTGGAAGATTTTACACATTTTGGATTACCCCCTAACTTGCATTCTAGATGCCAGTTTTGTACCTTGTTCAAATGAAATGAACCGAGCTAGGTAGAGAACCTTCCAGATGACCTGTATATCTTGCGATTCAGGTCATATATTTCAAGTTTCTAATTAAATATTTTTGTTTTGTGTCTCTTTGATATGCCAAACACAGTAACAACAAAGTCTCATGATGGAGACGTTACTGGGCCCGCTCGAGCAAATCGATGAACAACGGGAGGACAGTGACAGTGAAAGTCTCTTTGTATATTTACTTACTTATCAGATTAATTGCAGACTATTTGAGAGCTACATTTAGTTTATAGTTTAACCCAACTTTATTAGGCAGTTCTTCCTCCTATTCCTCTTCCACCACCTCCTCTTCTCTCTCTCTTTCTCTCTCTCTCTCTCTCTCTCTCTCTCTCTCTCTCCTTCCTGTCTCTTCCTCTCCCTTTCCCCCAACTCTTTCCACCTTACCCCAGGGTCTCAAA